ATATATAGGCATGCCATAGATATGGTATAAGTTATGTAAGCTGGAGAAAAAAAATATGAAGGTCAATTAAATTATAAAACATGAGGTAAAGTTCTCCTTTTTAATTTATTTGTTGCATTTTAAATGTATTTATTTATTTAAAGGTTCATTTATCTATTTCTGCTTTTATTTCTAATTATGTCAGTTTTGGTCCTCCATACTGCAGAACATGAAGAGGTAGTTCAGTGACTGATTCAGGTGTGTTGGAGCAGGGAAACAGGTAAAGCATGTAGGACTGCGGCCCTCGAGGATCAGGATTGCCCACCCCTGCCCTAGACCATGGACTAATAGGTCTAGTGATGCGTAGTGACAGCTGAGACTGAGGGTGAGGAGCAGTACTGATTGAGGGAGTGAAATGTAAATGACAAATTAGAAAAACTGAATACAAAAGAAAGCTACATAACTAAAGATAAACTGAATACATACTAACAAAAGAACAAAACAAAACAACCCAACACAAAACATGACAAGTATTCAGCATGTTATATTATGGATAAGAACTGCATCAAACTAGAAAATCCTCTTTTGCAGGATTTCAGACTATTTAGAAAAATGGTTACTCAAAAACACTCAAATGTTCTTTTGTTTAACTACTTTTTTCATTTTGATTTGTATAAATTCATAAAAATAATAATTAAAACAGTCATTAGGATGTGATTCTGCTACTACAACATAGAAGTCATCAGGATCTTTAAGCATTTTACTTAAAATATTGTTGATTAAAACAACAAAGGTTAAAAAAACATCGAAGCTGGTGGGAAACAGATGTCAATTATGTCAATATTAAAAATAAACTCTGATTCTAAACTAAAAAAGCTCTTTAAACATGTTTTTAAATGTTGCAGACAGTCATATGGAAAACTTGCTGAAACAGACATTTAATTTTTAGCCAGCTTAAAGGACTCCATAACTTAGACTTTTTCAGGCCTTCAGAAACATTTTCTAACTTGTTTGATCTCAACGTCGTCGCAGCCGAGGACTTTTTCCTCGATGACAGTTTGAGCCTCAGCTCAGACAGACTTCACTTTAACTTGTAATTTTTTAAACGTATAAAAAGTATGTTTTGACTAGTAATGATGATGTTAATGGATTATTTTAGTTGATTGAACCCACTCTTTCAGATATTGTTGTATAAAGTACCTCGAAGTGATACTTGAGTAAAAGTACAAGTATCTTATCATAAAAATACTTTGGTAAAAGTTAAAGTCTTCTCTAAAAATATTACTTGAGTAAAAGTCTTAAAGTATCTGATGTTTTTTTGTACTTAAGTATCAAAAGTAAATTTCTGACACAAAATCTACTTAAGTATTAAAGTAAAAGTACTGAGTAAAAGTGAGCAGTTAGATTTTCCAAAATGACATTTATTGGGAGGTGACTTCTCCAAAAAATATATTTTTGATGATGGGTTGTGTACAAGATAATAGTGTGTCAGAATGGTATATATTTATACTTCTCATCCAAACACAATTAAATTCACTCTTTCCAGGAGACACAATTTATCAGGATAGTATTTGTTTAAGTAACAACTCAGAATAAAATAGGATAAACGACTTTCTACTTCTTACCTTTTTACAAAATGTAGTGAGTAGAAAGTACAGATAATTGTGTAAAAATGTAATGAGTAAAAGTAAAAAGTACGCTGAAAAATAATTACTCAAGTAAAGTACAGATAACCAAAATTTCTACTTAAGTACAGTAACAAAGTATTTGTACTTAGTTACTTTACAACTCTGCTTTCAGATCATCTGGGCAGCTCTACAAAAAACTCTTTTCATTTTGTTCTTCACCTTTCAGCAGTGGGTGATAAACATGAACTGTAGTATTTAAATACATATTTTTTTAGTTTGTAAGGTTGTCCTTATCAGAACATACAGCGAGACAGTCTATAAAGGGTTTATAATTTTGGTATCATGATTTTTTAAAATTAATGTTTGTTCAAACATTTGCACTTCAGTAGAGTTTCTTCATCTCTAATGATCGTGTTCACAGAAAATCATCAGCTCTGCTTTAATGTTTGGGTTTTGTGTCCTGCAGCTGCTCCAGTCCCAGGTTTCAGAGCAGTGGTGTCCAGCAGCGTTCCCCTGGGTGGAGGTCTGTCCAGCTCAGCCTCTCTGGAGGTGGCCTTCTACACATTCCTGCAACAACTCAAGCCAGGTTCTGTAACTATGACTGAGTCTGTTTACAGAAACGGTTAACAGTCTACAGGGGTGAATCCTTGGAGAACTGCATGAATTATACAGTGGTGCCTTGAGTTACAAGTTTAACTCGTTCTGAGATGGAGCTCTTAACTCAAATTACTTGTATGTCAAATCAGTGTTCCCCACAGAAATAAATTGAAATGCCCTTAATCTGTTCCGGACCCCCAAAAAACACTACTATTTTTGTTACATGTTTTTATATCAGTAAAATCGTTATGAATAACAAAAACTGAATAAATACAAAACAGAATGTGTTTTCTGCAATGAACTACAGTAGTTTTATTAAGTACACTGTAAAAGGGACAGCTTCAATATGGTGCAGACTGTGGAAGTGCTGCGCTCATACTGCTTTGCTAAGTCGACTGCATGCACACTTCTCGTGTTTTTCAATAATTTATTTCTTCAGTTCAATGCACATCACCTGCTTCTTTTTCTCAGCGCCATCCTTTGCTCTCACCTTGTTTTGGTCCCATAGTTGGCAAAAGCTGGTTCTTTAAGTTTTATAAAAATAAAAACAAATGCTTTAACCACACGCTAACTGCTTAAAGCTAACTGAGACCGTGAACACCTGTTGCGGTGTTCACTCCTGCTTTCGTGGCGCCATCTAGTGGTGGGGCGTGTAAATCAATCAATCAATAAATCTTAATTCCAGACACAAAAAGGTCCATAGTAAAAAAAGATAAAAACAAAATAAGAGAAAAAATAAAAATAAACATGACTTATTCACTGAGTCATAAATAAATGATGACGCCAATGTTTCCACAATCTTGAGAGAAATCTCACTGTACTAAAAACAGGATTTACTAAAATTGCAATTACGTTATTGCATGACACAGATAATCTACACATGCATTTATACATGAGGTTCCTGAGCACAGCTGCACATGTGGGGACAGCATTATGTACAAACATATGGCTAACACTGCTCCATCGAGGCACTCTGAGTTACTACTCAGACTCAGCCTCATGCCATCATTGTATGCCACATAAAGTTTCTGCAGGTTCGCTCGTAACCCAAATTTTAGCTCTCAACTCAAAGCAAAAATATATCTGAGAGACTGCTTGTATCCCAAAAAACTCGTTAGTTAGGACACTCTTAAGTCAAAGTACCACTGTATTCATTTCCATTTAATCTGTAGCCATTCTAGTGAGTGGCTTTCAAGGCGAGCCCTCTTCAATCCCAACACCCCCTTATACATACACACCCCACTCCCCAAACCAACTGCCATTCCCTAGAGAAACACTTTGACTTTAAAATGTAAAAAATGGTGACATTGATCGTATTAATCTTCAAGTGCCAAAAAGTAATTGATTAATGTTTTTCTGACAATTAATTGCACAGGATATGATTATGCCCAACCCTAATCAATGCTTCAAATCTCATTCATACACTGATACACATCAGAGGCAGTGGAGGTTCAGTGTCTTGCCCAGGGACACTGGTCAGCGAAGCAGGTAATCAAACTGCCAACACTCACATTAGCGGAGCGACTACACTAACCACTCAGCAACAGCTATCCCCAATAGAATCTAATCTCATAGATTTATGTCTTATCCTGAATTTCTCAATCCTGCTTTTGTGAAACAGTCCTCTGGTGTCTGCTGGAATGATGACATTAGCTGTGTTTCCATTGACCATGAAAATGCGCAAATTAGAATTTCGAAAATAAATTTGCTCAATGGAAACTCGTCATTTTCGAAAAAAATTATGTTTTTCGACAAAATGTTTTTGCGCTAGGATGAGGTGGTTTTTCGGCCGTATCGAAATTGATGTATTTCGCAAATCTTCAATGGAAACACTTTTTTTGCATCACGGGAGTCACGTGATCAACAACCGGCTGTTTCTACTGGCGAAAAGAAGAAGAAGATAACAGGAAGTAAAAGTAGAAGTGAAATCACCGAAGTAGTAAAAGAAAGTAGTAAACTCACCGACTACATTTTCCCAAAAACGCCGCATATGTAGCCACTCCCAAGTATAAGGGGCTTGTCACTCGAAAGCCTAGATAAGACTCCGACATCTCCTCTAATGGCGGATGATGAGCGCTAGTGTCGTGGTAGCAACATGCTATGTGTTTACATCCATCGCTGCCATGTTTGTAATGACTTATCACGAAAACAAACATATTCACGCGTGACTTTAATAGCATTTCTTACTTAATGGAAACACTGCAGTTGTGAAACTGTGTTTTTTCAACATTAACAGAATATCGACAAAGTTTTGCGCACATTTGCAATGGAAACACAGCTACTGACTTTGAACAGATTAAACCTGCAGTAGGTAACTTTTATAAAAATGTATTTTTTACATATTAAACCTGTCACTATATTTTGACAGTAGATTATTAGACAAATAATCTGAAAAAATACATGGGGGGTGGGGGGTGTAGTGCAGCAGAGAGCAAGGAGGAGGGACCTGTTGGGTGTGCTTGTTCAAATTTTCAGACAAGCTCAGGGTTTTCTCAAAACTCCCTACTTCACCATTTTAGGCAGGGGCTTTGATTTTACAGTATCTGCTGGTGGAAAAACATCCTACAAAGCCAAGTCTTTTTAAGAAAACCATCAAATAACTAATTAGCTCTGTTTTAAGTAAGCTGTTTAGGAAAATTTTGTTTCCACACAGCTTACCTTACCGTTGCGCTCCGAATGTGCACCTTGCACCTGCTGTATGAAAGGTAGATAAGTAAACGTATCTTGAATCAACAGTTTGAGTAAATTGTTCTGTTAGTATAAAATAAATTTTAGTTCTATATTTTGAGCTGCACATTTGTTTTAATCTTCCCTGAATCTTTGGGGTCAACTCTGTGCTTGGCTGTGTTTTTTTCCACAGATGATGGAGACAAATTGTCTAAAGCACTAGCCTGTCAGCAGGCTGAACACACACATGCTGGTGTACCCTGTGGTATTATGGACCAGTTTGTCTCAGTTTTTGGCAGGGAGGGACATGCTTTGCTCATTGACTGCAGGTACTCAACACATTCATGTCATGGAAATCACTATACATTATTCCATTCCTTTTTTTTGTTCTCTTTTTTTCTAAATTTCATGTATTTGTTTTTAATTCAACTCAGGTCTCTAGAGGCCACTCTGGTTCCCCTGGCAGATCCAGACCTGGTGGTCCTCATCACCAACTCTAATGTGAAACACTCTCTGGCTGGAAGTGAGTACCCAGTGAGACGCAGACAATGTGAGGAGGCTGCCTCTGCACTGGGGAGGGACAGTCTCAGGAATGTTTCCATCAAAGACCTGGAAGGTAGGAAGTCTTTTTACAAAAACTCTACTCATCATAATTTATTTTCAGTGTTATTAAGCAGTTACTTTTGTGTGTGTGTGTGTGTGTGT